TAGGGTTTAGGGTTTAGGGCAATTCCCAAAGGGTCCAATGTACCTATATAGTAGAATGTAGGGTCTCTATATTAGGAAGTACTATTATGATTTAGGGAAGTATCCCCCATAATGGTGCGTAGGACCCTTCAGGAACTCTGCCACATAGACCCTTGGCGTTGAGGTTTGACAGGGTTCATGCGAGCAGAGTGTAGGGAGTATATAGCTCTTGAAGATTATTTCGGCAATGCCTGGCAATGCCTGATAGAGGCCCGTTGAAAATTAGAACGGGATTTCGGCACACACTATGCTACGATTATGGTGAACTCCAGAAAGTTGGAACATGGATTAAGGATGAGTAGTGCTACGATTATCTATACTGTACCTTAAGGGCATGAAGATAATGATATTCCAACTTTCGGGCTTCCACGGTATATTGCGGTACCTCAATAATCCTGAAGGTGTTGTGCTACTTTTTCAGGAGCGTATATGGCTTACTGCTTCAGTCCCAGGTGCTCTGGGACCGTGCAATCTCGTTGTAACACAGGTGTTGTGATTGCCCGAAGATGTGCACCCACGTCCCTCCCCCCGCCCCCCCCCGGTATTCGAATTCCTGCTTTAGGGTCCTACGGTTGTGGTGTTTTGACTTTAAAACAGGGCCTAACAACTTTAAGCCTTGCACTTTTGACCGCGTGAAGCCCGAGCTCAAACCCTAACTCCCGTTGGAATGGTCCGGGCTTGAGGCGTCGAGGGTGGGGTTTCAAGGTTGAGCCTTCAATTAATTAGGGCTTAGGCTTTAGGCTTTAGGCTTTAGGGATTAGGGCTTAGGGTTTACGGTTTAGGGTTTAGGGTTTTGAGTCTAGGGTTTAGGGTTTGGGGTTCAGGCTTTAGGGCTGAAGGTTTGGAGTCCACACCCTAATTCTGAGGCCGTTAAGCACTTGGCTATTGGTGGTTGTTTTCAAGACACGTTTGCAAACGTACTGGGATTGCCAAACGCTTCAGTGGATCACTCCATGGCGTGTTCTCGCAGGAAGGATAGGCAGACACTGCTTCTTAGGCGGTATAATATAGGGGCCTAAATAATTGCCTACATGATTCCTTAGGGTTCCTTATTACAAGTATACTTTAAAGGAGGCTGAAACCCTATTGAAATTATTAAGGCCCCTACACTACACCCTTATAGTAGCTTGTATACTAACCCTCATAGAACCCTTTTATAGACCCCTTTAAAGGGGCGCTATTCTAATCATTACTGTAAGGCCCCTACATTACAGTGTTAGTAGCTCTTATACAGACTCTTATAGAACCCTTTAAAGACCCGTTTAAAGGAGCCCTATTCTAATTATTAAGGCCCCTACAGTATACAAGATGTGACATTGAATAGCGGTGCGTGCCAGATTTCTAAATTAACTGCTCATTCAGAAACCCTGAGCAGCTTTTTGCTTGCTTGCTAGGGTTTAGGGTCCAGGGTTTAGGGTTTAGGGTTTAGGGTTAGGGTGTTGCTTACTTGCTGGCTTCGTGTTCAATATGCGCCGGTGTGTATGCGGACTGGGCCCAGATGTCTAGCCAGGTCGTGAAACAGTCAACGCCTGCCCCCATCCTGTCATGACGCGAACCATGGCGTTTGCTGTTCTCAGTTTGAGCCTCATTGCTCCAGCTGTTGTGGAAGCCGTGCAATGCTGCCTTGAAAGTGTCACAATCACCACCCGCGAGTACGTTGCAAATGGTTACCATCATGAGAGTATCACCAACTTTTACGCAGCAGAGGTGGTCAACTGCTCTGGCACAGTTTGCAACTCCGAAAGTTCGTGCTCTTCGCCCCAGATCAACGACGGCATGGGGTTCACTATCTATCCAGATCACGGGACCCAAGTTGTACCATATGACCACACATGTTGGACAAAGAGCCTCATGTGCAAAACGCTGATAGGGCGGCGGTGTGCGACGTCTTCGAATGATTACGATCCCCGAGTACGATCAGAGGCGACAAACTCGAGCAACCTCACTTTGTTCCCGTGAGTGCCAAGGCCAGGCGTTGATCACAGGCTTCTGGATCCCTGCTAGTCAGTAGTGTCTGATTGTTGTCCTGGGGCTCCAATACTCGAAGCATTAGAAGTATCATCAGTTTTGGTTATGCATGACTACTTTTGACTTTGGTCTGAGTAAAATCATGATTTTATGTTAATCTATTTCGGTGAGTAGTTATTAATACGATTATTGTAGGTGTTCCTCCTCTTATTGATTCTGTTATCACCGCTGAGTACGAACCACATGCAGTTAACCCTAAACCCTAAACCCTAAACCTTAAACCCTAAACCCTAAACCCTAAATCCTAAACCCTAAACCCTAAACCTTAAACCAGTTCAACTGGGCAAAATCTTTACACATTGGAGCCTCGGGGCGCGTAGCTAGGAAATGCTGGAAGATCCCGCCAAGAGTGCGTATGGGCGAAAGCAGCCCTTCACATCCAGAAAGTGCGAGGAAGACAGCATGACACAAGCTGCTGCAGGAAGATCCAAAATCAAGATGACTTCATGGATTCAGGGTTTATCTTGACCCGTAAGATTCTTACAAGACGACAACCCCCTAACCCTAAATCCTAAACCCTAAACCCTAAAACCCCTAAACCCTGATCCGCTAAACCTTCAACCCTTTTTAAACCCTGATACGGAATTTATAGGGACCCGACAAAAAAGTAGGTTTGGATGCCTATGGTCTCCAGTGTAGCTCCTTTGTTGCTTTCAGGGTTTAGGGTTAGGGGTTAAGGTTTATGTGGGATCCTGTAAGGTATCCCAGAAAAGGAACTACAATGGAGACTCTAGGTAGGATCATGGGCTGCACATTGTGACTGCCACTGCTTGTGTATCGGTAGAGGTAGGACGGATCTTCCTTGCGCATGGTCACATGAGAATGTCGAAGAATCACAGGTCCTAGTCCTAATATATATATATATAGATATACATCTATTCGGGCGTCGCGGGTGGGTTGTCTCCGAACTCGTCATGTCATTACCAGTCAAGGGTTTGCAGGCTGCTGTTTTGGGGTTTAATATAGGTCCCAAAGTCCCTCTATAGGTTTGAGCACATGGACCCTTAGGGAACTACTGTTGATGATATAAACCCTGCTTTACCTTAAGGACCCTAAACTAAACTATGGGGATTAGGGTATATTCCTTATTAGGAGTAATGCAGGATTTATATCATCAACCGTATTGTAGGGGTTGGGGTTAAGGGTTAGAGTCAGAGGCTGTCGGGTTCCTGGGTTTTGGCTTTCCGGCCCTAAATTAAGTTTTAGGGTTTAGGGATTTAAACGTTGAGGATTCTGGGGTTTAGCGTTTGAAGTGTTTAAGCCTGAAGTCCTAAACCCTAGACTCTAAACCCTAACCCGTAAATTTTACATCCTAAACCCTAGAACCCCTACCCTAAGCCTTACATCCTAAACCCTAGACCCTGAAACCCTAGTCCGATCCTAGGCCTCAAACGCCTAAACCCGAAGCAGGATCGTGCCTTTGCTGCAGCACCTACAACTTCTCACGGACAAAGTGCCGGAGATCCAGGAGAACACATGGGTAGAACAAAGGATTTAGGTTCAGGCCCTAAACCCTAAGCCCAAAGCCCTAAACCCTAAACCCTAAACCCTAAGCCCTAAACCCTAAACCCTAAATCCTAAGCCCTAAACCCCAAACCCTTCAGGGTTGTCTGATGCTGTGCTTGGGGTCTCAAGGTTTAGGTTCTAGTCACCGAAACCCTGGCAGTCAGGTTCTGTGACGCCTAAACTCTTAACCTTAAATCTTAAACCCTCTACTCCTAAACCCTAAGCCCTAAACCCTAATCCTAAACCCTAAACCCTAAACCCTAAGCCTCAACCCCCTTAACCCTAAAGCCTAAGCTTTATAGGGTTCAGGGCTTTACAGCCGTAAACCCTAAACCCTAAACCCTAAACCCTTTTCGTGCAGCCAGGAGCAGGTGTCGGGGTTCAAGCAGTGGCAGCGCCTCAGACTGAAAGTCGCTGAGCATCTTGACTTGTTTATTTGGGGGTAGGAGTTTAGGGTTTAGGG